CTGCTCAAACAAATCTACTACTACAGCTTTAATATATCCCAATACTTTCGGGAAGATGACCATACCATACATACCCAGAGCAAAAAGAGAGAATCGTACTTTATCATCTGGATGACTCTGAATAAGTTCTTTAATGTTGGTCCAAGCAATGCCTTCACTTTCTCCCTTTTGTTTTGTACGGGATACCACCCATTCCTCTCGTACTCCGGCAATCTTTGCTAATTTAACTCGAAAAGGTTGAGTTTTAATTGACCTTGAATAAATTCAATTCTCCAAAGCCCCTTCTATATGTAGCAAAGTTGTGTACTCTTCAATAGTATGAATCAAGTCATCCTTATTAAGAGTAAAGCAATTGTACCCTGGATTCCAAAATTGAATTAGGGCTCGAAGTAAGTCATCATTAACTTCGACATAGAGCAAATATGGGATGTCCCCGTAAGTATGATAAAACTGTAACTTTTTGTTTGAGTCCTAACTCTCCCAAATGCCTCGTAAATCTTGCATATCATTTCTTTTTAGCGAAACTGGAGCATAACTGACTAACTCAGATACATAGTCATCTTGCAGACTGTCTCCCCCTTGTCTTTGTAAGTCCTCAGCCCACTGTCTTACTTCTGAGTTTGGAACTATTTGATTTGAACACTTTTTATCCATAGATGAAGGTTTTCCAATGAGACGATTAACACGAGGATCAATGCCTTTTATCCTGTATGATGCTATGCAAACAGAAGAAATAAAGAACACACAAAAAGAAATGAATTAGTTCACATAATAAAGGAAAAAATTAATTTAATAATAATGTTTACCTAAATATCTTTATTTAAGCATGCTTTCTTCATACTTTAAATAATTTAAATTCACATGCAATTTATTCAGTAAGAAAATAAATAAATAAATAAATAAAAAGGAAAAAAGTAGAATTCATTTCTCCTGTGTATACACCTATTTTGGACAAAATTTCGGCATGGCTTCAGATCGGAAGAGTTTTTAGGGTTTATTATATGCAGGGTTTCAGATCTAAGAATAAAGGTACCCGAATCGTCCTTGTTAGTGCCCCCTTGGGCTACTAACCCTCAATCCTAGTCCATCACAGACTAAAGTGGATCGAGTTCAATTCGAGGGGATACACTTCTCTATGCCTGACATTGAGAATAAATTCCCACGAAGACATAGAGCATATGAACCCCGAAAGCTACTTGCTAGGTCTGACACGGAGAATAAATTCTCACGAAGACGTCACTTTCACTCCCACTTAAAAGGGACAAGCTTGATTAAAAAGCTTATGTTATGCAATGCATGTATTTGTGTGTGAGGAGAAATGTTCAAACATCTGACAGACAATAAATAATAAAATTTAATACTTGAAAAATAAAATAAAACATTAATAAAATAATATAAATATTATGAAAATAATAAATACATATAATTTTTTAAAAAAAATAAAAAAATAAATTATAAATTAAATATATAAATTTTTAATTTCTAATTAATAGAGACAATTTATAATTGATTTTAAAAGCTTGACCAGTCCCCAGTGAAGTCGCCAAGCTGTCGTAACCGATTTTTGGGCACGAAATTTTTACTTGGCGGGAAAAGTGATGTGAATAAATGGTTTTTTAAAATTTTTAAGGAGTCGTCATTGACCTTTTTGGGTTAGGTAGGTCAAATACCTAAAAACAATCTTTTAAAAGAGTTTTTAAGAAAACATCAGTTAAAAGATAAACTGGTCTGCATTTAGCCAAAAATTCGTTCTTTTTAATAATAAAAAAGGATTTGTGGTCGATTATGTTTGGAGAAGGATTAGCACCCCCACAACGCCAAAAATTGGTACTTATTAATTATAAATTATCTTTATCATTTAAAAATTCAAATATATTTAATTCATAATTCTGTTAAGTTTATTAATATATATATTTTATTAAACAAGATATTTATTTATTTAGAAATATCAGAAAATGACTTCTAGGTGCTTTAAGACAGCTCCTTTCTTAATATTAATAAATTTTTATAAAACATTTATCTAAAAATAATATAAAAGTAGATTTATATATTAAAATATTTATTTTTATCAGATAATGGACATCCAGTTGCTTTAAGTATGTCCTTTCTTAACATTAATAAATATATATTAAAATATGATTAAAATGATTTAATATATTAAATTTATAAATAGTAATTTCATAAAATAAATATTATTTTTATATATATTTATTTTATGCTAAATAAATATTATTTATATATATATTGACATAAATAATAAATAATAATAATAGTAACGATACATATAAATATAAGTATATAAAAGTAACATATGATTAAACAATGTTTAAAATAAATAAAATTAAAACATAGTATTAAAATATAAAAAGCAATAAAGCTTGTAAAATAAATGAAAATATTAAGCTTAGGGACTAAATTATAATCTAATAAATTAAATACCTAATTTGTAATTAATTTTTTAACTATAGGGATTAGACATGCTATTTTACCAATTTATTAATTTAGTGACTAAAATGAACTTGTATCAAATTCGAATATCATATTAAAATAAATTAAAAACATGCATTCGGGATTAAAATATTAATTATTAAAATTAATGGATTAAATCAATAATTTACCTAAAATATTTATATAAACATATTAATGATTAAATTATAAAGTAAACAAAATTAGAAGACCAAATTAAAACATTTAGAATTTGATTTCAGTGACTAAAATGGAATATTATAAAACTAAGATGACTGCGGAAAGGGTTTGGCCAAAAGAGAAATTACAGATATACCCCTCCCCAAAACGGCGTCGTTTGGGAAGGGGTATAAATTCCCCAAACGGATGGCCCGAAGGGCCAGCACTCTCATTTCTCTTCTCTCTCTAACTGAGAGAGAAGAAAACTCTCTCACTTCTCTCTAGCTTCCCTCACCGGAGGGAAGCCGGTTATCGGCCGGCAGCCGTCTACCTCTGCTGTCCCCACCGCCGGCCACCGGATGCGGTGGCCGGAAAATTTTAATTTATACCAAAACGTAGATCGGACCGTCCTAATGACGGTTCCGGTGACCATTTTTCTTAAAAAGCTTCCGATCGGAGCAAATCTATGAAAATACCTTCGGGTTTTGGTTGTTTCCGGCGACGGTTGCTTTTCTCGGCGGCAAGACTCTAGACTTCTTCTCCTTTTTTCTTCGGTTTGGTGTTATCTGGGATCGTTGGTGTAAATGTTTGCTATCTCTTTTTTTTTTCTTTTTGTTGCTTCCTATTCTTTTTTTTTGTTGGCAGGGGGCTCAGTGGCTTTTATAGCCACCACCGACGTTCTGCTCGGACCGGTCCTAAGGAGGCTGCCTAGGTGTCACCATAGCTATGGTGGTGACTCACCATAGAGCTCGACGTGGGCGGCTGTGAGACGCTCCTTGAAGCTTCTGGAGAGGCGTCGTGGCAGCAGAGGTTGAGGCGGTGGCAGCGGATCGTCGGTAGTGGCCGGTTGGAACACTTGGCAGCAGAGGCGGCGACTGTAGTCCCTAGAGTATCATAACCCTAGGGCTTCCCTCTAGAGGCTTCTGGACCGTTGGATCTTGCCAGATCCAACGGCTAAGATTAAGGCAACTGGCTGCTGAGATGATGAAACCCTAATTGAGTTTAGGGTTTAACTAGATTCGGATTAGACTTGTATCTGATTGGGCTTGGGCATATAAACGGACTGAGCCTGATTTGGGTCTGAAATATAATAATAATATATATATTTAATAATAATAATAATAATAATAATAATAATAATAAATAACAAATGACAAATGACAAATGACAAATGGATAAAAAAATTAGTATCTTGAGATATCTTTGCTGTGTTTATTCAGAGCATGGGCTTGATTAATACACCAGTTTCGAGGAGCACCTTTACATGGATGAGAGGGGCTGGCCACACTTCTACTTGTAGACTGGATAGGTTCCTTGTTTCGGCGGAAGTGCTATCCAGCTTTCCTTATCTTGTTCAGCGCACCTTGCATAGAAATTTGTCGGACCATAATCCTGTCTTGCTAATAGAAGAAAAAATTCAGCGGACTAGAGGCTCTTTTAAATGGTTCTCCCAACGAGCCGATGATAAAGGGTATGTAGAAATGGTGAAAAAAAGTTAGTGATGAGTGCAAAAGGAAAGGCATTGGAGTGTTTTTGGAGGAGATGAAGATTTATACGAAACTTTGGCAAAAAGAGGAGAATCGGAAAGACCCAGCTTTGGGAGAACTACCGTAGAGAAGAAAGGGAATGGCTTCAGAAATCCTGTTTGAGGTGGTTTAAGGTTGGTGACAGAAACTCTTCACTGCGGCTTCTCGAGGGAGAAAGAAGCTTATTTCAGCCGTGAAAGTGGCGGATGAGGTGTTAAAAGATACCAATCTAATCTCCAAAGCGTTTGAGGATTACTTTCGGGAGAGTTTCAGTTCAATTAACACTATTCCGATTCGGAGGTTGGGTATTCAATTTAGAAAGTTGAGTGTCGCGTCAAGATCTCTTGAAGGTCCGTTCTTGGAGGATGAAATTTGGTTTGCAGTTAAATCTACGGATATCTCTCGGACTCCGAGTCCAGTCGGGTTCAACCTGGGCTTTTTAAGAAGTTTTGGCATCTCATCAAAGGTGATTTTGGTGGAGTTCTTTGATGAATTTCATAGTGGTCATCTAAACATGGAAGCCTTCAACAAGTCGTTCTTTACTTTGATTCCAAAGAAAGATACTCCTGAGTACATCGAAGACTTTCGACCCATTTCTCTTGTTAGTAGCCTTTACAAATTAGTGGCGAGGGCGCTTTCAAGAAGGCTTTCCGTGTTTATGATTGAGTTGGTGGGTGAGTGTCAGTTCGCCTTTATTTCTGGTATTCAGATTGCAGATTGTGCGCTTATTGCGAACGAGATTATCGATGATTTGTCCCGAAAGAAAGAAAAGCAAGTGTCTTCAAATTAGACTTCCGTAAGGCGTATGACTCAGTTGATTGGGGATTTTTGGATCTTATCTTAAAGAAGATGGGGTTCGGGAAGAAGTGGAGAAGTTGGGTCAAGGTTTGCATCTCCTCAGCATCAATCTCAGTCCTTGTTAATGGTGTTCCTTCAAGTAGCTTCAAGAGTAAAAGGGGTCTCCGCCAAGGCTGCCCATTGTCTCCCCTCCTGTTTAATTTAGTGTTAGAAGCTCTGAATGGGTTATTCAGAAAGATTTTGATGTTGGGCTGTTTAGAGGTGTCCCAGTTGGTTTTTCTAGTTTGCGTATTTTGCATCTCCAGTTTGCGGACGACATGATTGTGTTTTCTGAGGCAAACATAGAAATGGTCAGAAACTTGAAGAGGATTCTTCGAGTATTCGAAGTAGCTTCTGGGCCGGCTCTAAATTTAGATAAGTCAAAGCTGTTTGGAATCGGGGTGGAAGAAAATCAGTGTGCGGATTGGGCAGCATCTATTAAGTGTGAGGTGGACTCATTCCCCTCCATATACTTGGGTTTGCCTTTGGGATATCGTAGAAGTTCTACTGAATTATGGAAATCTATACTGGAGAAAGTTCAGCCGAGGTTGGAGGGATGAAAAGGGAAGCTTCTTTCTTTTGGTGGTCGAATAACGATGATTAAATCGATGCTTTTGTACTTGCTGGTTTACTATCTATCCCTATTTCAGTTACCGTCTACCGTAGCATCAAAGTTGAATAAAATGATAGCCAAGTTCTTATGGGGGTCTAAATCCGGTAAAGCTATTCATTGGGTGAAATGGGATCATGTGTGTAAGCCCAAGGAGTTTGATGGTTTAGGTTTTACTGATTTGAAACTTAAGAATCGTTCTCTCATTAACAAATGGATTTGGAGATTCGGGGTGGAATCTTCGAGTTTATGGAGAAGAGTCATTGAGGCTAAATATGGGTTTGATCATGCTTCGTTGATTCCAAAACCAAGGAACCCAAATAAAGTATCTTGGGTGCGGAGGAGTATCTCTTGTCCAATTGGTGTTGTTGATGACGCATTCACGCATAACGTTCGATGTGTATTAGGTGATGGGAGCTCCATAGAGTTCTGGGATGATTTTTGGACAGATGTGCCTTCCGTAAAAGTGGTATTCCCACGCATCTATGTTGTTGCTGTTAAGAAGACGGAGAAGATCAATGCATTCGGTTCTAAGGCCAATGGTGTCTGGTCTTGGTATATTGAGTTGCGTAGGGTTTTATTTGAATGGGAGGTGTGTATTTGGAATGAATTCATGCTGATGATCAATGCTGCATCTTGTAGTAGTGCGGTACAGGACCATCTAAATTGGAAGGGGTGCGGGTCTGGGTCGTATACCCACCAAGAATTTTTGTAAAATTGTGGGGTGTGTGGGATTGGCTAAGGATCCCGTTTGGAGCCTAGTTTAGGCAAATCTTCCTCCCCCGAAGGTGGAGGCCTTTGTTTGGAGGTTAGTTCTTCATAGGATCCCGTTGTTAATCGAATTATTCAAGAGAGGAGTAGTGAATCTAAAGCCATATATTTGTGTGTTTTGTCGCGATGAGCAAGAGTCGATTGTTCATTTGTTTTGTCATTGTAAGATGGTTTGGAGAGTTTGGCAAAGGTGGTGCCAGCTTTGGAATTTAAAGCTCATATTCCCCGACAGTGTTAAAAGTTTGCTCATGGCGTGGGATAACGTACCGATTAAAAAGTGGTCAAAACCGATCTGGAACATGGAATTTTTTGGGTTATTGTGGTCTATTTGGTTATATAGGAATGATATATTGTTTAATGATAAACTTTGTCGTGAGTTGCAGCTTTTTGAGATTGCCTGTTGTAGGGTGGATACGTAATGCAAAAGTAAATGGCCTAGTTTCATCCTAAATGCAAATGACGTTATTCGTTATACGAGTTTATGTGCGGTCGGCCATGGGTTGTGACTTCGGGTGGGAGATTGTTGGGTAACTAGATTTTGAATCTGCGAGGCCTAGGGATCGTTGGGGTCTTAGGGCTCGTGAGGCAGCTAGAGTATGGAATTGTGGGGAACTATTCGGTATTTTGTGTGTTGTAATTATGTAGATTCATGTTACTATAGGGCTGCATTGTGGTATAGTTGGAGATTGGTTCCAATTGGGGCAGATTGATTCGAATGGGGCCTTGGGGCGATTGTATACCATTTTCATGTCATGGTTTGGCTCGAATTGTTTGTTTAATTTGCTATATCTGTGTTGATAAGGGCTGGAAGGCTCGTCTTATTTTTGATGTACAAATGAGGGAGTTGTTGTTTGGGGTGGTTGGCGTTTGTGGTTTCTGCACTGCGATGATATGTTGAAACTATGGTGTGTTTAGTGTTGCTTTTGTCCTGATTTTAAGTGATGTTGGCTAGGGTGTCTTACAAATCTGGTTTGACCATTGTTGGATCATCGGTAATGCTGATTGAGGAGATTTCGTAGTTTATATATTGATTGCAGGCTATAGTTTTGATGTGTGTACTGTGGAAAGATAATGTGTTGTGATTAAACTTCGACTTGGGGCACTATTTTTCCTCTACTTAGGTATAGAGAGATTTTTAAACAAGGATCGTGTCTTCATTTCGGTTTTTTATGCGTTTCATTAATAAAACCGTACATAATTTCTTTTTAAAAAATATAATAAATAATTATAAATATATTATTTTAATTATTTTAAAATATTAATATATTTGAATTGGGTCAAACTGGGTTGAGTATTAATAATATATTTTTGGGTAGAGATTGAGGCGGCCAAAAAGCTTGCCTACCTTGCCCGGTGCCTATCCCTAGTAATAGGCCAAGGTTTGAGTCGTTTTATTGTTACTTTTGTTTTTATTTTTCTAACCTTCATTATAGTATAAGATAAATAACAAATATCGTAAATATTATATCAAGAACTAGTGTTGGCGTAGTGGTATATGTTGATTAATCCACTTTAGATACTTAGGTTTAACTCTCCTTAGTAGCTTCTTGATTCAATTTATTTTCCTTCCATCATATGGTTACATGTGTCATCATCTGATTGGAGGAAATTTATTAAAATTAAATTTTAAAAAAAAAACTTCCAATGATGTTATAACACGTGTCGTCATATAATTGAAGGATTAATATATCGACTTATATAAAATTATGACTAATTTGATAGATTGCGTAAGAAATAATGATTAAATATATAATTTTATTAACTGCCACATAAGCTCTTTCGTTAAATGTTAACGGAAATTGACTAGATTGAATGCGTTTAAATAGTTGGGTGACCTGATTTACAAAAGAGAAAATAACCTCAGTGACCGAAAATGCCTTATAATATACGATTTTAACCAATTTTTTTTGGATTTACGAAAATGACCAACAAATTCGCAACGCAAACTCCAATTTCGCAACCCAGTTTCCAAATTCGTAACGTGAATATATAAATCGCATTGCGATTTTCCAAATTCGCGTTGAGATTTTCCAGATTCGCAATGCGAATCTGTAAATCGCAACTCGAATTTGTAAATCGCAACACAGAAGTCAAATTCGCAACGCGAATCTGTAAATCGCAACGCGAATCTGTAAATCGCAACACAGAAGTCAAATTCGCAACACATAAGTCAAATTCGCAACGCGATAGTCAAATTCGCAACTGAATTTCAAATTCGCAACTCGATTTTCGAATTCACAACACGAATTTAATTTCGCAACAGGTTTTAGTTTCACAACACAAATGTTTTGGGTATATAACTACGCAGTAGCAACAACTCATAACCTAAATCCCTAAATCGCAACTCATTCCATCTCTATCTATCACTCTCTCCGGCGACATCCGTTCTTATATCCAACGACATCATTCCCTATCTCTAATTTTTTTTTTTACATAATTTTATTTCTATATAATTTTTCAGTGATTTCTCTCTCAAATTATCAATTATCAACTTAATAAAGGTGTTTTTCTCTAAGTTAGTGATGATATGTAGTTTTATAGCTCGTTTGTTTAGTAAATTAATTTACAATTTGTAGAATGAAATCATCTAATGTTGATCATGTTTGGATAGATTTGTATTTTGGAGGGTCATGGGAGAATGTTCATGGTGTTTTACAATATGTGCCTTTACCCATGAATCTTCAACTAAAACTGTCATTAAAAAAGTTAACTTATGAAACTTTAATGTTACGTGTTGCAAAGAAATTGAATTTAGAGCCTCTAAGGGGATTTATGCTATCTTATCAGAGAAAAGGTAAAGTTTATTTGTTAACCGACAATGAAGATGTTGAACGATTCATTGCTTACATTAGTGTTTCGCAAGAAGATGATGTTACATTGTATGTTGTTGAACCTAGAAGTAGTAAAGTTGGGTCAGTAACGGGTAGTAATCAACTAAGTTCTTCAACCCGAGTTTATGGTGCTCACAATGTACAACGTTGTTATCAACCTCAAAATTTAATGATTCCACCACAATTTCATCACCAAGAAAATTTTGTTTCACCACATTTCCAATACCAAACACAATCTCAAAACCCACAACCTTTTCCTAATCCAAATCCCAATCAACTTTCAGCACCAAATTTCGGTTTTCGTATTGACCAGTTAGACGATTATGAGCAAACAGAAAATATTGTGAGTACTAGTCAGTATTCGAAATTTGATCTTGGTCAATACCCGGACCTTGATCTTGTTCAATACTCAGATTTTGATGATGTTTCAAAAGAAGAAACAGACCCTGCATGTAATGATTTTGATATTGGTCAATACCCGAATTTTGATGATGAAACAGCCGCTGCCGAGGAAGATATTGATGATAATGAGGAGGAAGTTACGACTGTGAATGAACATGTTGAACATCCATTATGTAATTCATATAACCCTGAAGAAGAAGAAGTCCCCGATGAAAAGAAAATAAGAAAATTCCACGGGAGTATAACTGGAATATGCCAGAATTACTTCAGATACCGGAAGAAGAGTTGGTAAAGATAGCAGTTGATTGTTATAAAAAAATTATTCGTATCAAGAAAGTTGATTGTTTTGATACAAAGGAAGACTTGAAGATAGCTTTGTATACGAAATGTGTGGAAGATGGCTATCAACTAAAAGTTAACAAATCAAGCAAAGATTTTTTCGAAACAAAGTGTATGATTGACAAAAAATGTACGTGACGTATGATTGCAAAGAGGATAAAAGATTGCGAAATGTTTCAAGTTAGGACTTTTATTGATAAACATACATGTTCAAGAACCCAAGTTTTTCCTCACCATAGACAGGCAAACAAAAAGGTGTTGGGTGGTTTTCTAGCTGAGTTAATGTTTTTGAATGGAAGGGTATATTGGGGATATGAAATTATGCCTTGGAATTGTTGAGGGGGTCGCCAGAAGCATCGTTTTCCCAACTGCCGGCTTATTGTCACAATTTAAAGCTGAAAAATCCTAGGCCGGTAACTCATATCAAAACAGATAGAGATGGATGCTTTGAGTTGGTGTTTATCGCCATTGGTGTTGCGGTTAGTAAATCATTACAATTTTGTTGACTCATTTTTGTTAGTTGCATGCATTTCACATTTAAATGATTATATTTCTTGTGTATATGATTTTTTAGATTCGTTCGTTTATTACTTGCATGCACCCAGTTATTATAGTTGACGGAGCACATTTGAAAGGTCGATACCTTGGAGTAAACTTATTAGCAGTAGCCATGGATGCTAACAATGGGATACTGCCAATAGCTTACGAGGTTGCAAATCTGAAACCTCTGATTCATGGACATGGTTTATGGGGCATCTTAGGGATTGCATAGGTCCTATTAGCAATCTGACAATCATATCCGATAGGGCAAACTTAATTGAACACGCTGTTAGAAGGTGTTTCCCATATGCCTTTCATGGACTTTGTGGTGTTCATTTGTACATAAATCTAAAATCAAGGTCTGCTGGTATAAAAAACCACAAATAAACATACTAGAAGGCTATTAAAGCTTATCGGGAAGTGGATTTTAATAAGCATATAAATTGTTTAAGACGTGTTTTACCTCAATGTGCTCAAATACTAGTAGATGTCGGGTTTAAAAGATAGTCAAGAGTACATCAACTTGGAGCAAGATATGGTTTCATGACGTCTAATAGTGCAGAATCAATCAACGCTCTAAGTCGTCATTCCCAGAAATTACCCATTACTATGTTAATGGAGTTTTTTCGAGCCTCTATTCAATAGTGGTACTACAAGAAAAGAAACCATGCAGGTATTATTTCTTTAAATTCGTAACTTATCATATATTTTACTAAGTATTATTTATTTAAATTTACAGGAACATTGAAACGTCGTGTTACACCATGGACTGAAAAAAAGATAACGAAACGGGTTGTGAAGTTAACGTCATGGAGAGTTGAACCATGTTCAAACACTTTGTTTGAAGTATTGGATAATAACTTAAATGGACTTGTCGATCTAAATGCAAAGACGTGTAGTTGTAAGAAATGGCAAACATCTGGTTATCCATGTGGCCATGTTATAAAAGTGCTCTTCATCTAAACCAAGATGATTCAAGCACATACGCTATGGATTGCTACACTACAAAAGTATATCAACAAACTTATGCCGAGATTGTCTACCCTATTCCACATCCTTCTGAGTAGGACATACCAGATGACTTACAAACAGTTTTGCCACCAGTCATGGACAGCAGGCTACCTGGCCGACCAAAAAATCATGATCGTATACCGTCTAAGGGTGAAGAGAAGAGGATATCGACATGTAATCGGTGCAAAGAAAGTGGTCATACAAGGTTGACCTGTGGATTACCAGTGCCATCACAATCATCTTTTCCTCTACCAAAATATGGATCCTCGTCAAAATCCAAAGCTCATATGGTGTCA